TGGGAAAGCCGTAGAAGATGGCCCAAGTGCTTGGGCCCCTGCACTCGCGTGGGAGACCCAGAAGAAGCACCTGGCTCCTGGCTTCGGATCAGCCCAGCTCTGGCCATTTTGGTCATTTGAGGGGGTGAACCAGCAGATGGAGGATCGATCTCTCTCTTTCTCTCTGGCTTTACCTCTGCCTTTAACTCTTATCTTTCAAATAAATAAAATGATTCTTTTTTAAAAAAGTAAATGGTATGGTTGCTATAATTTCTGTAATAGGTAATGTATAATGTATTTCTATTTTATCTTTTGTAATACACAAAATCTTTGAAAACTACACAAAAATGGATAGCTGAGAGAGTTGTCACTTTTTTTTTTAACAGCCACTAGGTGAAAGCAGAAGTAGGAGAACCTCATCTTCTGTGGTCTCCCCACTTACACTGACCAACATTCTCTGTGTTCTCTTCATCCTCTCCTGTTACGTTAGCAAGACTCTCCTAGGTGTAGGAAAGCTACAAACCAGATGGTCTTAAGACAGTGGTTCTCAGCTAGGGAGCAAATCCTGGTGGCCGCCTTGAAGAGAAATCAAAATAAAACACTGCAATGAGAAACATAAACAATGGGAGAGGAAAAAAAGTCACTCTGATTACATTGTGCCTTCCAGCGGCCTGGCCCTCAAGGCCCAAAGGATACTTCCTACCTTTAGAATCTATTAAATTCTCTTGTGGATTTATAATAAAGTCCTCCCTTTTCTCTGTAAGGTACCCTGAATAGGAACTTCCTACTGGGCAGTATTTTGTTTTTAAATTAATTAATATATTTTTGTTCTTTTTAACTTTAATTTTTACTTAGTTTTTAACATTCAATGTGATTTGTAGATTCAGTTCTAAGAACATAATGATAATCCCTTCCTTCCTCCCTCCTTCCCCTCTACGGGGCTGTCTTAAACCAGTGATAATGCTAAAATTGAGCACTCATGGCTGATGTTGTGGTGCAAGGGGATTAAGCCACCACCTGCCCCATCTGGGTGCCCATATGGGCATCTGTTTGAGTCCCAGCTGCTCCATTTCTGATCCAGCTCAGCTAATGAGCCTGGCAAAGCAGCGGAAGATGTTCCAAGTACTTGGGCCCCGCCACTCATGTGGGAGACACAGATACAGCTCCTGGCTTCAGCCTGGTCCAGCCCTGGCCATTGAGGCCATTTGGGGAGTGTACCAGCAGATGGAAGAGCTCCTCGTCTCTCTGTAACTTTGCCTTTCAAACAAATAATTCAACAAGCAAATACCTAAATACTTCTAAAAACTTATTGAGCACTCACTGTGCATCAGCCGCTCAACGTAGGCATGTTACATTTACTTAATGCTCACAACAAAGGTTATCCTCAGTGCATATACAAGGATTGTGAAACTCAGAGAGATGCGATTTCTAAGGCCTCACATTTAGCAGAGTCAGAATTTAATCCAGGCAATTTGGCTGCAGTCCCCATGCGGGCAGTTTCCCTCACTGAGGTCCAGCTTGAACAACTGCGTGCATTACGCATAGACTAAGGAAACGTGCACTGGGGGCAAGCGTCTGGCTCGGGGTTAAGTTGCTGCCTGGCTATCAGAGTGCCGGGCTTCGGTCCCAGGTCCCCTGCTTCCAAGCCAGCCCTCTGCTCCTCTGCTCCCTGGGAGGCAGGGGATGATTGCTGTAGTATTTGGGTCTCTGTGCACGTGGAAGACCTGACTTGAGCTCTGGGCTCCTGGCTCTGGCCTGGCCCAGCCCTGGCTGGTGGGCATTTGAAGAGCGAAACTGTAAATGGAAAAATCCTCTCTCTCTCTCACTCTCTCTCTAATACAATGAAAAACAAAACAAAACAAAACAAAAAAACCTTCACCCCAATAGCAGGTAATTTCAATCCAAACAAAAGATGTCCTAATGGCCTAATTTAAGTGAATGATAAAAATATCTTCAAGGCATATTCTGGAGGCTTTCTGAGCCCTTCCAACTTTGCAAGAGTTAAACTGGGACCTAGTAAAAGACTACCAGCTATACCCGAAGTCAATCAGTTCATCTACAGAGAAGTTAAAATTCAACACAAAGTTAGAAGCTTGAAACTGCACATTACTGCTCCTGTTTCTATTATCATTTCCTAGGGTCTGTGGAATTTTAACTAGAAGAATTCACACAAGACAAGCCAGGATTGCACCTGGGATTTTAGATTGAAGAGAGACAAATAACCTAAAATGGCTACCATTCTTCCCAGAACAATGGGATCCAGAAATAGATCCAAATATATTAGGGAATACAATAAATGTGGCATTTGAAACCAGTAGGGGGAAACCAGCTCATTTAATAAATAATGCCAAGGCAACTAGTTAGGCATCTGCAACCTGACCTCAATCTGTTCCCTAAACGTCAGCCGAAACAAAAACTCGGTGAATTATTTTTTAAATATTAAAATTTACAAAAAGCCACTCAAAGCACACAGAAGCAGAAAGAAAAAAATAACAAATTTGACTACAAAAATGCTAGAAACTTGACAATGGCAAAAAAAAAGCCACAAACAAAAAACTACGACAATGTGTACAACATATTTGGACAAAGGCTAATTTTCTTAATATATAAAGGGTTGAAACAGATTAATAAAAGTGATCAATAGTCCAACAGTGAACGGTAAAGACATAAAAGGTCATTTTTGGCTGGCGCCGCAGCTCACTAGGCTAATCCTCCGCCTTGCGGCGCCAGCACACCAGGTTCTAGTCCCAGTCGGGGGGCCGGATTCTGTCCTGGTAGCCCCTCTTCCAGGCCAGCTCTCTGCTGTGGCCAGGGAGTGCAGTGGAGGATGGCCCAAGTGCTTGGGCCCTGCACCCCATGGGAGACCAGGAGAAGTACCTGGATCGGATCAGCGCGGTGCGCCGGCCGCAGCGGCCATTGGAGGGTGAACCAACGGCAAAGGAAGACCTTTCTGTCTCTCTCACTGTCCACTCTGCCTGTCAAAAAAAAAAAAAAGTTATTTTTAAGGGTAAAAAAATAAAAGTAATAAAAAATGCTCATATGGGGCTAGCGCTGTGGCGTAATGGGTAAAGCCACCGTCTGCAGTGTCGGCATCCCATATGGGCGCTGGTTCGAGACCTGGCTGCTCCATTTCTGATCCAGCCTTCTGCTATGGCCTGGGAAAGCAGTAGAAGATGGCCCACCCTGCACCCACGTGGGAGACCCAGAAGAAGCTCCTGGCTCCAGGCTTTGGATCAGCTCAGCTCTGTCCGTTGTGGTCATTTGGGGAGCGAACCAGCGGATAGAAGACCTCTCTCTGCCTCTCCTCTCTGTGTAACTCTGACTTTCAAATAAAATATAAATAAAACTTTTTAAAAAAAAAAGAAATGCAAATTTGGATCTCTCCCTCAGTCACTCCCTCTTTGCCCGTAACTCTGCCTGTCAAATAAGTAAAAATTGAAAAGGAAAGGCAAAGAGGTAGCAAGTCAAGCTGCTACCTGCTCTGCCCGCAGCCCATGTAGACGCTGGTTTAGTCCTATCTGTTCCTCTTCCGATCCAGCTCCCTGCTAATCACCAGAGAAAGCAGTGGAAGATGGCCCCAGTGCTTGGGCCCCTGCACCCACGTGGGAGACAAAGAAGAAACCCCTGGCTCCTGGCTTCTGACTGGCCCAGCCCTGCTGGTTGCATCCATCAGGGATGAACCAGCAGATGGAAGATCTCTCTCTCGCTCTGTCTCTCCTCACCTCTAAGTGCTGCCTTTTGAATAAATTGGTTAAAAATGCCAGTTAGAGACAACCTGAAAGTTCTTGAGCAGGAGTAATTATGCTAGAAAAAAAGAGCTGCTACTCCGTTTTTCATATTTACTAGGGCTTTCACACCTCTAAAATGAAAATGGACCAAAAAGCGGGGTATGTGTGTGTGTGTGTGTGTGTGTGTGTCTCATGGGCCAAGGCAGTGAACAATGGGCAGCCTGGGAGGTCCACCCAGACAGCCTGGCTTCTGCAGTTGCCAGGCAACCAGTGTAAACACAGCAGGATCATGGCCACTAACTACAGTGCTAACCAGGTAAATTCTTTTTTTCTACTTCTTTAACTTGTAATTTTGTCTTTCAATCTCTACCTTTGAATCGACCCCCACCATAGGGTTCTGATCTTTGAGGAGCTGAGATAATCTTTCACCTCCTGAGAGTCAGGAGGATGTAGAGATAGCAATGGATGTCTTTGGATTAAAGGAACAGGGTGTAAACCAAAAGTCAGCACCATTTCTCTGTAACTGGCCAGAGTAAATAGGTGGGGTCTTCAAAAAGTTCATGGAAACTGTGTGTGATGAACAACCTGTGTATGGATTTTAAAATGTTTTGTACCAAAATAAACTTCTCTTTTAATTCCTTTAATCCACAAAACTTTTTGAAGTACCTTCCTGTTTTAGGCTTTGTGGGCCGAGTGGTGAAGACACAGATACCACATAGGTACTTAAATAGTGAGAGAAAACATTTTTCCGTAAAATTTTTGACCACGTTCAAAATAATGCATTATTGAGGATGATAATTGTGATACAACGAAAACAATTGAATTCTTTTTGGGGGTAAAACATTTTGCTTAATTGGAATTTCAAGTTAGTGTTCCCTTTTGTCAAATCAATTGCAGGTGCTCAGCTATGAAAACCATCCTAAGCTCTCAGGCCATTTAAAAATGGGCATCAATATGAATTTAGCCCCGAGTCACAATTTACCAGTCCCAATAAAAACAGTATGAGCTACAACTGTAACTTAAAATTTTCTAGTTGTTATGTAAAAAAATTGTTAATGTTAACCCAAGAAACTCAAATTATAATTTCAACATTTAATTAGCATTTAAAATTTAAAAAAAAATTTTTTATTTGACAGAGTGAGAGAGAGAGAGAGAAGGGTCTTAGCATTTTAAATTATAATCAGATGTTTTACATTCTTTTTTTGTACTATCTTCAAAATCCAGTGCATTTAAAATTATTTATTTTAATTTTATTTGAAAGGCAGAGAGAGAGAGATCTTCCACCTCTGGTTCATTCCCCAAACACCCACAACAGCCAGGGTTGGGCCAGGCCAAAGCCAAGAGCCCGGAACTCAATGTAGGTCTTTCATGTGCTTGAACCATCATCCACTGCCTCACAGGGTGCCAGAAAGCTGGATGGCAAGTGGAGAAGCTGGGACTTGACCCAGGCACTCTGATGTGGGATGCAGAAGTCGCAATGGGGTCCTAACTGCTGTGCCAAACGCCCACCCAGTCCAGTGCCAAGCACATTGGTGTGGACTGGTTACACTCCAGGAGCTCAAGAGCTCTGTGTGGTGACTGGCTCCCGTCGGACCGCACACACGCAGTCCATTAAGTGCCACCCTCGTTACAGTGAGTTAGGACCTATGTGATCGTTCAGGTGTTGGGTTTTCAAATCTAAAGAATTATGCGAGTCCTCATTTCCGGGGTACGGGGCCTCCGAGCCTCACAGGGATCCTCACCTTTCTCTCCACAGTACGAAAAAGCTTTCTCACCCAAGTATCTGCAGAACTGGTCTCCTGCCAAGCCAACAAAAGAGGTATCTCCATATGTGGTTTCTAGTTCTGTTCATCACCCAACTCCTGCTAGCTTTCTCTAAACTTCTACACCCTCCTCTCCCCACCCCTTAGACGTCCTCTCACTCATGAGCACTTCTCCCTCCCCCCTCCATCTCAGAGAATCTCTTCCCATGAAGGCTACACCCAGATCATCGCCAACGATCGTGGTCATCTGTTGCCCTCAGTGCCCCGTTCCAAGGTGAGATACCCGTGGGCATCCCCACCAAGAGAGGTAAACTGAGACACGGGACTGGGAGACTGCGCCACTCTCTGGAAAACGGAAGTTCAGTCTCCTTCTTGTTTTACTGTGAATGCCCCCAAATGTCTAGCCAGCTCCCAAAACAGATGGAGTTGTGTTCAGCACTCAGAAACGCTTACACTGACGAATGATCCGTATGTAAGTCCTTGGGTACTGGTGCTTACTGTGGGTGCGCTCTTGCCTCGTTTCGCCTAAGAATACAGAATTAGTTTTTAAAATTTATTCAAAAGAGCAACATAGAGAGTGGACACAGAGAAAAAGAGAACTTCCGGGGCCAGCACTGTGGCATAGCAGGTAAAGCTGCAGTCCTGGCATCCTATATGAGTGCCAGTTCGAGTCCTGGCTGTTCCACTTCCGATCCAGCTCTCTGCTGTGGCCTGGGAAAGCAGTAGAAGATGGCCCAAGTCCTTGGGCTCTTGCACCCACATGGGAGACTGGAAGAAGCTCCTGGTTCTTGGTTTCGTATTGGCATAGCTCTGGCCAGTACAGCCATCTAGAGATGGGAGACCTCTCTCCACCACTGCCACTCTGTAGCTCTGCCTTTGAAATAAATAAATCTTAGAGAGAGACCTTCCACCTGCTGGTTCACTCCCCTAAATGGCTGCAATGGACGAGGCTAGGCCAAAGCCAGGAGCCCCGAACTCCATTTGGGTCTCCCATATGGGTGCTAAGGGCCCAAGCACTTAGGCCCTCATCTGCTGCTTCCCCAGGCTGTCAGCAGGGAGCGGGATCAGAAGCAGAGTGTCCAGGACTGGAAGCAGTGCTCCAATGTGGGATACTGGCGCTGCAGGCAACGGCTTAACCTGGGGTCCTACAATGTAGGATTTGACAGAGGGGAGGGGCAGAACAAGAGGTAACCTAAACAGGGGAGGGGAGGATGAACGGGGAGACTGCGCTTTCAGTCCACTGTCATTATCACACATTCCCAAAGGTAAACAACGGAAGTAGGGCAAACACGGGTTCTGCCAATAGGTCAGCTATTGGGAGTGGGAATCCCTGTTTGAGAATCCCTTTTCCTTTTAGGCAAATCCCTGGGGTTCCTTCCTGGGCACCTGGCAAATGCCTCTGAAGATACCCCCTGCTCGGGTGACCCTGACCTCCCGGACAGCGGCCGCCGCCGCCTCACTCACCACGTGGATACAGAAAAACCCCGATTTACTCAAGGCATCTAATGGGCTGCGTCCTGAAATCTTTGGCAAGGTACCTCTTCCCATTTAACCCCAAGCCCCGTTGGCTGCATTTCTTTACAACCTCAAAAAACTGTCTATTGCTACACCACCACTACCCCAGCAGAGGGAACCTCTAGCCAGTTCTTACCCAGCCGAGTCTCCGCCCTCTGAGGCCTGAACCAGTGAACTAAGGACATCTTCCCCTTCTAGTAGAAAATAACCTAATCCCAAGAGGAGTTTAGGGGAATCAGATTTAACTACTCTCACTGGAAACCTGATTTTCTGTCCATGTATGGGAGAGAAAGGGAGTCAGAGAATTCTGGGGTAGACTGGAAATAACCTGGGCCTGGCCAGGAACCTGATTCTCTTTCACTCTGCCCCTGCCAGCCCCATGATCCAGACAGTGAGAAGAAACGCAGGAAGAAGTGTGTCCCAAAGACTGTACAGCAAGCGCCAAGTGCAACTGTGATTCCCAGCTCTCCAGCTGGCAACCTCAGGTCCCCGGATCAACCCCAAAGCTCACACCCCTCCGCAGGTCACACACCAGGGCCCCAAAGCCAGGCCAGCTCACCCAAGAGCCCACCTGGAAGCCCATGTCTGCTAGAACACTGATCTCGCCGAGATCCGGAAATGCAAGCTTGGAACTTCCAGAGACCAAGGGGCCACACTGAATAAGCTGTCTGGAGACCGAGGGAAGTCAGACTTCCAGGCACAAATGTGGAACAGAGAAATCATGGGGAAAGAGAGGCAAATTTGGAAAATAAACGTTTGCTGAATCCTTTACCGATCCATGCTTTCTGTGCTGGTTATGTCTGCCTCGTAACCCTTAAGAAGGAAAGGAGGGGAACGGAGTAGGGAAAAGAACACGCAGGGGGGCAGCGTGGACATTTCAGTTATACCCCAAAATGACGAAAACAAATCTGAATGAGCAAAAAGGCAGACTGTCACAGAGCCAGGCCCTCACCTCTACCCCTGCAGTTTTCATTTGGAACATGCACATGTGAGTTTTTTTTTTTTTTTTTTTTTAAGATTTATTTATTTATTTGAAAGTCAGAGTTACACAGAGAGGGAAGGAGAGGCAGAGAGAGAGAGAGGTCTTCCATCCGATGGTTCACTCCCCAGTTGGCCACAATGGACGGAGCTGCACCGATCCGAAGCCAGGAGCTTCCTCCAGGTCTTCCCATGTGGTACAGGGGCCCAAGGACTTGGGCCATCCTCTACTGCTTTCCCAGGCCATAGCAGAGAGCTGGATTGGAAGTAGAACAGCTGGGACTCAAACTGGTGCCCATATAGGATGCCAGCATGCAGGCAGCGGCTTTACCTGCTACACTACAGCACCGGCCCCAGTGTGATGGTTTTAAAACTAGCAGTATTTAGTATTGTATGTGCATGTATGCTTCCCAAAGATGGGAAAGAAAAGCCACGAAAGCCAAAGTAGAAGACGCTGTTCTTGTTTGACTTTATATATAAATAAAAGTACATTACAGGGCCGGCACCACAGCTCACTAGGCTAATCCTCTGCCTGTGGCGCCGGCACCCCGGGGTTCTAGTCCCAGTTGGGGCACCGGTTCTGTCCAGGTTGCTCCTCTTCCAGTCCAGCTCTGCTGTGGCCTGGGAAGGCAGTGGAGGATGGCCCAGGTCCTTGGGCCCTGCACCCACATGGGAGACTAGGAGGAAGCACCTGGGGCTTTGGATTGGCGCAGCTCGCTGGCCTTGCGGCCATTCAGGGGCTGAACCGATGGAAAAGGAAGACCTTTCTCTCTCACTGTCTAACTCTGCCTGTCCAGAAAAAAAAAAAAAAAAGTACATTACAAAGAGCACCTCAGAAAGTTTATGGAAAAAAGCAATTTAAAGGCGAGCAATGGGGTCAGTATTGGGGCAGGGCCAGTGGAAGCCAGAAGTCTGGAACTGCTCTGGGTCGCCCAGGGGTGGCAGGTAGTTGAGTCTTCACTTGCTGCCTCCTAGGATGCACATCCGCGGGAAGCGGGGTCAGAAGCAGAGCTGATGGGAAAATGGGAGGCAGGTGCAGGTGTCCCAAGCAGCATCTTTATTTTATTTATTTGAAAGGCAGAGTTACAGAGGGAGAGAGAGAATCTTTCATCTGCTGGTTCGGTCCTCAAATGGCTGCAGTGGCCAGGGCTGTGCCGGGAGCCAGGAGCTTCCTCTGGGTCTCCTACATGAGTGCTTGGGTCCAGGTACTTGGGCCATCTGCTGCTGCTTTCCCAGGCACATTAGCAGGGAGCTGGATTAGAAGTGGAGCAGCTGGGATTCGAACTGGTGCCATTATGGGATGCTGGTGCTGCAGGCTGTGACTTTACCCACTGCGCCATGGTGCCACTGCCACTGCCCCACCCCCAGTAGCATCTTAACTGCTGTACTGAATGCCTGCCCCATGCATAGTTTTTTTCTTCATGTGTTTTTCACTAACAAGACTTCTTATATAGATTTCAAACAAGTTTTATACAAAAAATAAACATCTTTTATTCTATTTTTCAATAAGCTTTTGAAGTACCCCTATAAAGTTTGAAAATTGATGATCGAGAAGTGACTAAGGGGACAGTGCTGTGGCAGTGAGTTAAACTGCCGCCTACAGTGCCAGTATCCCATTTCAGAGTGCCATTTGGAGTCCCCCCAACTCTGCTTCTGATCCAGCTCCCTGCTAATGTGCCTGGGAAGGCAGAGGAAGATGGCTTAAGAACTTGGGCCTCTGCCACCCACATGGGAGACCCAGATGGAGCTTTGGGCTCCTGGCTTTAACTGGGCCAGCCTTGGCTACTGAAGCCATTTGAGGAGTGAACCAAGGGATGGAAGATGTTTCTCTCTCTCTCTTTCCCTCCCTCCCTATTACTCTGCCTTTCAAATAAATAAAGCTTTTTTTGGGGGAAAAAAAGTAGAAGACAAAGAAGAAAGAGAGGATGGTAAGAAGAAATTAAGAGAGTAACACACGATGCTGCGCCATACTCCTTCATCTGTCAATCACCAGAAAAGTCAAGAAGTTCCCTCTCCCTTGCTCAGCCCCCAACGTCTGTGCATCGTTGACCCCATTCTACATCTTCCTGGCACTGCCCTTGCCAGACCTTTCCCACTCCCAATGTCGAAGTGTACCCTCAGGAACCCTTGTCCCTCACTCAAGGACAAGGGCAGCTGGTGTAAACTGGAGGAAGGCTACCAGGACCTCTCAGGGCCAGTGTAGCAAGAAGGGAGAAGGGGTCGTACCCAAGGCCAGACTATTTGAGGGCTGGAGGAAGACTGTCCAGGCAGCAGGTCCCTCGTCTCAGCTTAGTAAGGTCTTCCTAGTCAAGTGGAACCTTTTCATTTCAACCCATGGCTTTAACTAGTTGGCCAACAACTCAGAGTGACAAAGTGGATCTCTTCTTACTCCAGAGTTTCCAAAGACTATCAACCGGCACTCCTGCCAAGGGATTCAGAGACCCAAAGGCCTGGCCTGGATGGACTGTAAAAGCAGCAGGTTTTCCCATTAGATTTTAAATTTTCATTGGGTTTAATAATGCCCTCCCTCACCACACCCTTTAATCTCTACTTTCCTTTCTCCCCACATGACACTGCCTTAGCTGTTATCGCCACTGGTTGGGGTGTCCCTCACTGGGTCATTTTTGGAACTGTCCCATGAAGCTTATAACCAGTCCTCAGTGGGACTCTCCACGCTGAACTCCTTTCTTTTCTCCTTCTTTTTCTGAGACTTCTCTGTGATATTTAAGTCTCTGGCTAGTTGGACAAGCAATTCATCCCCTGAAAACTTTTCCAGTGGTCAGCTGTAGGACAAACGGCTTCCCTCCTGGGAAAGATCAGACTGGGGGGTGTAAATGCCTGAGACCCGAGGGAAGCGGAGGAAACTGGCTCCTCAACAGCCATTCACTTGGTTTCTCTGGATTTCAAGGAGAGTCCAAAATAAAATGAGTGTTTTAATTCAGCTAGAGAAAAAGATGGTACATGAACTTGGGTTTGAAAACATGGTATTAAGAGTTTTGGTTTTCTGGAAATACAAGAAAAAGAAATAATCTTTAATATATTCAACAGTAGTTTTCTGGGTCTTCCTCTTGCATCAAGATATATATCTTCTTCCCAAGAGCCAACTCACACATTTTATCGCCCTCTAGCTGGGACGGGCTAATTCCCCTCCACCTCCCATCTCTTCTTTCAGTCACGCTGTGTGGGTGCAAAAGGCCCTGGGCTCTGACTAATGAACAGAATTGTCCTTTAAGCCAGCAACCCACAGGCAGTGGCACCCAAAACCTCAACCCCAGTCCGCAGAGCAGAGGCCACAGAGCTGGCATTGTTTCCACTGTCTCAGGAAGAAGGAGCCAAAAGCTGACCCTCAGCACATATCGAAGCCCAACACAGAGAGAGAATAAGGGCTCTTAGGCTCAGAGTAGGCTGCAAGCTGTGGGCAGGAAAAGCAAGGTTTTGCAGCTACTCCATCTTTAGAAATGGGGAAACTGGATCCTTTCCCACTGCTATGATTCCATAAGCTACTCTACCGCTACAGGGTTCCCAGGAGATCTGCAAGCACAGGGGGATCTGGCAAGTCAGGAGAGATCTGCCCTGGCTGGAGAGGAGAATGCAAACATGAATATAAATCAGTGTAATAATTTGTAGGAAGATCATGCTAGAAACTTCAGCTCTTCACATAGCGGCCAGCCCAACAGAGGACAACACAGTAAGAACCAAGACGGCCACTCCGGATTGGTATAGCTGGGGAATCTTCAGGCCTTTTCCCAGGTCCCACATCTGCAGAAAAAGAAAGAAGTCGGTAATCAGGACTCAGGTCCCACAGCTCTCTGTCAGAAAGTAAACCTGCCGACTAAAACGGGTACCTCCTCTCAGCAAGACTCTAGGGAAAAGCATTCCTAGCCTTAGGCTCCACCTTGACTCTCCTCAGAACCTATGGTATGTCCCTCCACCCACTTCTCCCAAAGACAGATCAAGCCCCTCTGTGTGGCGGTGGGTGGTACCGGGACTATTCTTCAGAGTGCCAGACACTATGCACCGAATAGATAAAAACTTTTTCTTGGCCGGCTGCGCGGCTCAATAGGCCAATCCTCCGCCTGCAGCACCAGCACACCAGGTTCTAGTCCCGATGGGGGCACCGGATTCTGTCCCAGTTGCCCCTCTTCTAGGCCAGCTCTCTGTTGTGGCCCAGGAGTGCAGTGGACGATGGCCCAAGTCCTTGGGCCCTGCACCCGCATGTGAGACCAGGAGAAGCTCCTGGCTTTGGATCAGCGCGATGCGCCGGCCATAGTGCACCAGCTGCAGCGGCCACTGGGGGGTGAACCAATGGCAAAAGGAAGACCTTTCTCTCTGTCTCTCTCTCTCTCTGTCCACTCTGCCTGTAAAAAAAAAAAAAAAAAAAAAAAAAAAAAAATTTTCTTATGACAACATATCCAGATCAATGTGACCCAAAGTGCATTCTTTGGAAAACTGGTTCTGCACAGTGCTGAAAGGCATTATGTGATGAGAGAAGTTTTGTGGCAAATAAATTTGGTAAACATTTAACTGCAAGACCACTTACATAACTTATTAAAGTACACTGTACATCTATAAATAGGGAATATCATATGCATAGCTTTTTCATTTAAAATTTTTTGACATAAAAATTGTACACAGTTATGAGATGCTATGTGATAATTTCTTAAATAAAGCCAATCCTTGTTTATAGATGGATCATGTATATCTCAGGACTAGTATTATACAGAGTATTCTTTGGGATCCAGAATGATACTTCTCAATTTTGTTTTGATTATGACCCCACTAAGAAATATCGTTTAG